GCCCTCCGAACGGATCTCGACCTCTCCGACTCGACTCCTTAACGTGCAGCTCGCCCTCGAGAGCCTCGGCCCCGTCCTCGACCCCCCGCCGCTGCGGAGGCCTCTCGTTTGAGGGAGGGGGGGGAATGTTCGGGGGGCACTGGCTTAGGAGGGGAGGAAACCTCGACCTGGACCTGGCGATACTCGGCGGCGAGACCGGGGGGGAAGTGAGAAGGAGAAGGCCGACTCAGAAGGCGGCGGGACTTCTCAGAAGCCCTCGCGCCGTCCGCGCACTAAAGCCCACTCTTGCCTAGGTCATTCTTGCCTGTAGCCGATTACAGACCCACCAAACATATTATAAAGGCCTTGTGCGGTTTGCGCGAAGTGTTCTTAGGACATTATTGCTCAGACCGTCTTGGCTTATATAATACATCCTGCTCTCGGGAGAAAGCTTCGGAAACTTCTCAGAAGGCCAGGGGACTTCCGAGCCTTCTGAGAAGGCCATCTCCTTCTCACTTCCCCCCCTGGCTCGCCGCCGAGATACGTAGCCGATAGATCGGCGATACGGTCGGGAACTTTAGTTTTGTCTCGGCAGCGGCCCCAGCGACACGCCATGCCTGGCCCTGCGGATAGCGTGTCGCCCCGCTCCGCGGAGCGGGAGGCTCGGAAAGGCTAGGGACGTTCACGCTTGGGGACCGGGACGTGGATGGCATGTCGCGCCGAGAATTGGTGGGCCAGAACCAGCAGAGCGACACTCTAAGCCAAAATTCCTGACCGTATGGCAAGATCCGCACGGTCATCGGCGGGGTGCTCTACCGGGCTGGGCCCCTATCGGCGACTAGTGGGCGGTTATCTTCTTTGCAGAAGGTGGTACAACTCAGGATTCCTCACACATACTTCATCAGCTCCGCGGGCCCCATCTCGAGCGATATGGGGAACAAAATGGCAACAGCTACTCCCTGGCCCTCTCCAGGGGTGCACTCTGACCAGAACCTCGAGGATAAGACAGGCGTGATGACGAGGGCTCTCCAGGACGAACAGCGGTATCGGCATCTAGAAAAAAACAAAAGCAGCATAAACATCAACTTTTCGGAGATCTGAGCGGATTTCTTAGATCTGCGCTGGAACCCCTCCCTGGCGCGCGGAGCGCGCCGGGGGCGGCGAAGGAGGCGCCGTCAGGGGGGGCCCAGCGTAGATCCAAGAAATCCGCGCGGAGCTCTGAAAGTTGATGCCTAATGCTGTCGCTTGTTCCTCGAGCGCCGTTTCCTCCTCTGAGATTGGAGGCCGATGCATCCCCCCGTGAGCCCCCGAGGAGGAGGACGAGGAGGAGGAGGAGAAGGAGGAGAAGGGAGGATGCAGAAGACAGACCGTTCAGATGTTCAGCAAACACCGCCAACCTTCACCCCTGACGTTGCCCCCGAGGAGGCTGTTCTGCCGCGCCGAGCGCCGCTCCGCGACCGCCGCCGTCCCCGCCAGCGGCGGGCAAAGGTCGGCGACTCCGAAGGGTGCGACTCACCAGGAGCGCGGCTTGCCACCGGCACCCTTTGGGGGGACCCCCAGGCTTACCTCGCCCTCCTTCTCGCCCTCCTCACCCTGCTCCTCGCCCTCCTCGCCCTGCTCCTCGCCCTCCTCGCCCTGCTTCTCGCCCTCCTCGCCCTCCTGGCCCTCGCCCTCCTTGCCCTCCGAAGGGTACGGCTCACCAGGGGTGCGGCTCACCAGGGGTGCGGGCGAGCACCTCGACAGAGCTCCCAGCCGAGCCCCGAGGACACGCCTTCGACCTCTGGCCGCCCCGTCTACAGTCGGACCTGGGACAGCAGAACATCCCTCAAGAGCACAAGGCCCTGCGCCAGCCAAAAGGAAGAGCATTCGAGGCCCCCCCCCCAGGATGCACAAGAACATCCCGCAAACACGAAGAACATGACCCTGAGATCCCACGGCACGAAAAAAATAAAGCGTCGTAAAGAATCACGACGGGAGACCTAGACCCATACTTTCTGTGCCATTTTTCAAACTGGATCGATCTGTGAGGGTCCCAGGGCCCAAAACCTGACGAAAACGCCCAGCTCGAAAATATCACTCTGACGCCAGGACCTCAGGGCAGAGTACCCTCCCCGAATCGACCTCGGTCTTATACCTCGGCCCCACTCTGCGACATCTCCGACCTCTGCGAAATCTCGACCTCTGCGACCTCCGTGGCCTACAAAGCTCGCCTTTGAGAGGGCCTCGGCCTCGCTTTCGATTTTCCCGCCGCCGCGGAGGCTTCTCTTGATGGGGGGGGAGAGCGATCGGAGGGGCACTGGCTTCGGAGGGGGTAAATACAGCCGAAAATAATCAAGGAGATCAAGAGTCAAGAAATGTGGGCCAGCTTCCCGGAAGATTATTGAACAGAGCCTGGGCCAACTTCTGATGTTGACGCTGCAAGGGTGATGGAACGCAAGAAACTTGGCCAGCCTTCCAGCAGGTTGGCTGAGCAACGCTGGCCCAGCGTGTCGGGAGGAGTTCTCTTAACCAGATGCTCGACTGCAACCCTTGAATAGGGACCGACCGTCCCAGCATTCCTATAGGCCTACCACGACATGTTCTTAGAACACCGAAATGTTCCAAAAACGACAACAAGGCTCTTAGAACCTGAGCCCGATGTGTCGAAACAAGACCGTCTCAGCCCACGATGATCTAAAAACATGTCGCGCGGACCACAAAATGGTCGTCGAACTCTTTTGGGGTGGGCCTCTAGGCAAGCCAGGGCGCTTCGCCACTGCTCGAAATCCGATCGCGAACCGCACCCTGGCGTAACTACACCCTTTGCAGTCGCCGAGAAGGGGGAGGATTTGAAAATCTACGCGGGGCGCGCGGCGCCCCAGCGCTCTCGGCGCGCGGCGCGCGCGAAGGAGGGACCGCGTCTGGCGGGCTGCGAGAGGACAGAGCAGGAGGGAGAGGAGGAGGAGGAGGAGGAGGAGGAGGAGGAGGAGGAGGAGGAGGAGGAGGAGGATAAGAAGAAGGAGAAGAAGAAGAAGGAGGAGGAGGAGGAGAGGAGGAAAGGAGGAATCGGTGGATGATACGAGCAGGAGGACCCCATCCACCTCCTCCTCCTTTTCCTCCTCCTCCTTTCCCTCCTCCTCCTCCTCCTCCTCCTTTCCTTTTTCTTATAAATGACTTCTCCCTGGCCCACCCCGAAGCCAGTTTTTAGGACGGGCTGGGCGTTTCGCCAGAAATTTCCGAACCGTGTATGACTCTGAAGCTTACAATTGGCAACAGCCTCACAAATGGAGGGCGGGTGGTTTTGAAAATGTGGCTCTCGCCTTAGCGCCGCGCACATTCGCTCGAACAATTTGAACAATTTGCAGAGAGCTTCACGGATTGAGGATAACCCGTTTTCAAAATGTGGCTCTCGCCTTAGCGCCGCGCACGTTCGTTTCAAACAGTTGCACAGAGCTTCACGGATTGATGATCACCCGTTTTCGAAATGTGGCTCTCGCCTTAGGGCCGCGCGCATTCGTTCGAAATAACGGCAAGAGTTTCACGGATTGAAAGCGGTTCCTTTTCAATGTGTGGCTCTCGCCTTAGGGCCGCGCACACTCTTTCATAACAGTTGTAAGAGTTTCACGGGCTCCCACGGTCAACGTACCAGACATGCTGTTTGGAAGGATTCAAGGTTTTGCGGGTGCAACAGATATCTTGATGCGCGGTGACAAAAATCCCAAGAATGGCAAGGCAGATCCCTCAATCGAAACGAACCGTTGCAGGGGCCTGTGAAGAGGGAGCTTGGAGGGAGGGTGTATTCCAACATCGTTGACGGCTCTTGGGTTCACCTCCTCCTCCTCCTCATCATCCTCTTCCTTCTCCTCATCCTCTTCCTCTCCCTCCCCATACACCCATCACAACCACACACCACGTCATCGTCATCATCATCGGCAACAGAATCACAATCATCAGCAGCATCATCATCACAATCACCATCATCATCAGCATCATCATCGTCCTCATCAGCATCACAATCATCATCGCCTCCTTCATCAACAACAGCATCATCACAACCATCACCATCAGCAGCGTCATCACAGTCACCAGCACCATCAGCATCATCATCGTCATCGTCATCATCATCATCATCATCATCATCATCATCATCATCATCATCAACAACAGTATCCTCCCTTCTCCTCTTTCCCCCCTTCTTGCCCCAGCCCCTCTCCTTTCCCTCCTCGCCTCCCGTTCCTCCCTCATCGCCCTCCCCCGTGCCCCCACCCCCACCCCATCCTTACTTCCTATGAGTAAGTACCCCCACATCCCCACCTAGCCAACCCATAACAACCCCGCCGTCCGACTTTTTTTGCCAACATGTATTTTCTCCTCGTCGGCGCTGCGAAACGCGTAGCGGGAAAGAGACGCCCCGCGAATTCCCATGAGGCATGCTTCTCTTCCTCCTCAGTTTCTCCATCCCTCCCTCCCTCCCTCCCTCCCCTCCTCCTCCTCCTCCTCCTCCTCCTCCTCCTCCTCCTCCTCCTCCTCCTCCTCCTCCTCCTCCTCCCCCTCCTCCAAGCGCGGCAGGGCCGAAACGATTGGCGGTGCAACACGCGTGGCTGGAATGAGACGCGGCGCATTTCGCGCGCTGGACATGTTGTCGCCGACGATGCAACATGAGAGGCCCGAGCGGGGAGCGGCGTACATCGCGCGCGGTCTTGTTTCTCGTCGACGTTGCTCAATACCCGTCGCGCGCTGAACGTCCAGCCGCCCACGATATAAGATGACCGACAGGCATCGGACGCGACGCACTTGCTTCTTATGCTGCGGGAGGGCGGGTGGGAGTGGACGGAACCCTCTGGCTCGTTCGAGCTGGCTAACTTGACCCCACCCCACCCCACCCCTGCCCCCATCACTCCCTCGTCGCCTCCCCTCCTTTATCTTCCCCCCCCTTCCTCCTCAGCGAGGAGGGAGAAACAAAACGAGAGGGAGGGAGAGGGAGGGAGAGGGAGGGCGACAGAGGGAGGGCGAGAGAGGGAGGGCGAGGGAGGGAGCGCAGGGCGAGGAGTCCTCGCCCCCCGCTCCCTCCGACCTCGCCCTCCCTCCCCTCCGCACCGCGGGTGCCCGGGGCGGCCGCGGCGGGGGGGGCGGCCGCGCGAGGGCTCCCCCGTGAAACTCAGCGCCTGCGAGGCCTGCCGCGCTCGCCCGACGAAAACGACGACGACGACGACGACGACGACGACGACGACGACGACGATGAACGCGGCGGCGGCGGTGGCGGCCGCGGCCGCGGCGGCGACGTTGAACCGCTCCAGCGAACTGCGCCCGCGCGACGATGAACGATGCGAAACAACGCGGCGCGCACGCAATCTGTCTGCCGACCTCTACGAGTAGGTCCTAAACGTTCAAACTGTTTTTAACAGAAGGAGAAAGAGAGAGAGAGAGAGAGAGAGAAAAAAAAAAAACGCTGCAAAATCCATTCAGAACCCATCCTGCTGCAAACCACCCTGAGTTGTGGGGCCCGCTGGGCCCCCCTTAAAACCCTGTGGCATGTCGAGGCTCGTTTGGGAAGGAGTCTGGAGCCGTCGGGTAGTCCTCGGAGCCGTCCAGGGCACCTAGCAACTCCCATGCCAATATTTGGCACCGGCCCAGGTCCATCCCCGCCTACTCCGAGGTTTATGTGTGTATATATACATATATATATATATACATACCTACATGAACAGCCCCATCCCCCCCAGCACCTACTCTTACTACCAACATTCACTTACGACGGTGGTGTTTTCCATGTCCTTCTCGTTCTCGTATGTTTTACGTGTTTTCCCTCTCTCTCGCTCTCTCTATTCCTCTTTCTCTGTATGTTATGTCGTTGTGCTTCTCTTTCTTTCTCCCCCTCTCTCTCTCTCTTTCTATCCACTCTTGCTGGTCGGCTTCCCAAGGCGTGGGTTCCGATCCCCAGAATCCAAAACATCCCACTGAAAACTCAGGGTTTGCCATGTCAGGGGTGCGGGAACCATGTGTTTTCAGTGGGGCGTTTGGGATTTCTGGGATGAGACGTGAGGCAATCCTGTGTTTTCATTTGGATATGTTTGATGATTGGGATGTCTGTGCCTCTGAAACTCCGGGGGCTCCTCAGCGGGACCGTCGCTGGGAGATGAGAGTCCCCACGTCTCAAAAATCCAAGTGAAAGCACAGTGCTTCTGCACTTCTCATCTCAGGAATCCGAAACATCCACATGAAGACAAAAGGTGTGGGCACCCCTGGCGTCGAGAACCCTGCGCTTTCACAGGGGTTGCGTTGGGTGTCTCGCATTCTCTCCTCATCAGGAGGGAACCCAATTGGAATTGAACAGATTCCAGATGAACATGTATCTGCTCAATTTCAACTAGATTGGGATTTCATTCGAGATGTGCTGTATTCCAATAATAACTGTTATTCAGGTCCCAACCAAGATACGGCTGTAATCGGCTGGATATGGGATCTGCGCCACTCCCATTCGATCATTATAAGACTTGAATCGGTTCCAATGAGAACCACATTGCACTCAGCTTGATCTGGGATCCGCTCCACCCCAATAAATTGTTCATGAGGTTCCAATCGGAATCCAATTGAAATCAGCTGGATCTGGGATCTGCTCAATTCCCATTGGATTACTATCATATTCCAATTTGAATGCAATTGGAATCAGCTGGATCTGGCATCTGCACTTTCAAATCCATTTTAAGCAAATTCCCATCGCAATCCATTTTGAATCAGCTGGATCTGTGACCTGCTCAATTCTAGTTCGATCCTGCTCGGCCGCAACAGGAATCGAATTGGAACCAGCTGAATGTGGGCTGTGCTCTACCACCATTAGAATCCAATTGCATTACAATAGGAATCTACATGTATTCAGCTGGACCTGGAATACCTTCAATTACAATCGGGATCCCGTCGGGTGAGGAGAGAACCCCAGGTACTCAAAACAATCCCTTCGGAAACGCTGGATTCGTGACGCTAGGGGTGCCCAAACCTTGCGTTATCATTTGTATGCTGGGGACTCCTGGGATGATAAATCTGGAAACATTGTGTTTTCATTCGGTATTTGGTGATTTGGGGGATTCTCATCTCCCAGCGAAAATTCCGCCCAGGAGCCCTCGAAGTTTCAGAGCCACAGACATTCCAAACAAAATGGGAACACCGGGCTTCCATAACATATCACCCCAGACCCCAGATATCCCAAAAGTACCAATAAAAACACTGGGCTTCCGCACCCCTGACATTGAACACCTTGCATTTTCATCTGGATGCCAGGGATTCTGGGGATCGAATCCCACGCCTTGGAAAGCAGAAACACGAGAGGGGGGAGAGAGAGAGAGAGAGAGAGAGAGAAAGAAAGAAAGAAAGAACGAGAGAGAGAGGAAGGAAGGACGAGAAAGAAAAATAGAAAGAGCGAGAAAGAGAGGCACAAAGACGAGGAGGACGAGGAAGAGGAGGAAAGGAAGAGTACCAACATCGTAAAGGAAAGCTGGTAGGAGTGGGTACAGGGGGACTGCGCCGACACACACACACATATGTATATACATATACATACATAATATACATATAAACAAAGATACAGATATACAAACATACACATATACATATGAATACACACATAAATATACACCTACCTGGACCCCCACACACCTCTCTATATATATATATATAGATATAGATGTACATACATGCATACATGCATGCATGCATGCATACATACATACATACATACAAGCACTCATGCAAGCATGCATACATGCATGCATACATACAGACAGACAGGCATACATACATACATACATACATACATACATACATACATACACGCATCTAACTATATTGGGTATAGTCCATTCAAGATCCCCCCACGCAGGCATCTGAATATCCACGGTTTCGTGCGGTTCCCCGAAAGACCCGTCCGTTTCAAGTTCCATGGGCATTGAGTGGACAGCTTCCTTGTCCAATAACACACTGTACTCAACAACTTCCGTCTCCAACACAACACCCGATATTCAACAAGCTCCCGCTGCAAAAGAGAATCCGTAATGAATCGCTCAAAAAAATCCCGACCCACCCGCCCGCTGCCCGACTTCCCGCCCGCCTTCCGGGTATCACGCACCATCCTGTGCTCAACAGCCCTCGTCTCCACCACAACACCCTGTACTCAACAGCCCCCGTCTCCAAGACAACACCCAGTATTCAACAGGCTCCCGTTGCAAGAGAGAATCCTTAAGGAGTCGATCGAAATCCCGACCCACCCGCCCGCCCGCCCGCCGCCCGCCCGCCCGCTCGCAGTCCGCGTAGCACGCACCACCCTTTACTCAACAGCCTCCGTCTCCAAGACAACACCTGTACTCAACAGCCCCCGTCTCCAAGACAACACCCAGTATTCAACAGGCTCCCGTTGCAAGAGAGAATCCTTAAGGAGTCGATTCAAATTGCGACCCGCCCGCCGCCCGCCCGCCAGCCCGCCCGCCGCCCGCCCGCCCGCCCGCCTCTCCGTTCATCACCTCAGCATCTTCCTATCAATCCACCTCACCCGCCCCATCCGTGTACAGTAAGACAAGACTCTCGTCCTGGAACACCCAAATCGGAGATTTTGAACGGACTATACCGTTGATTCAAAAGATATATACATGTATATAGATCTGATGAGGGGAGCAGCAGAAACACACTATCACAGCAAAGCTCATCCGCCAGTGCGGCTGTTCACTGCGGAACGGCAAACGGGATCGAGGCAGAAGCTTTACTGACATCGGTCGACTACCCAGCCATTGTTGGTGACGGCGGGGCCACGGGCAATGGCATACGTGTGGCCTTGCCCACAAGCATCTCGCAACATCTCCCTGTCCTGTTCTGCCAGGCTTTCGAGCGTGGAACAGTCGAGCGGCGTGCAGCTAGCGAGCACCCCTTCGGCGCATCGCGGGCGGTGGCGGTCGGAGAGGTGCGCTATGCACCGAAGCCGCGACCGAACCCGAGTGCCGCAACACGGACGGGTGCCGAGGCCATCAATGTACGACTTCATGGCGAGTCTGTGGCCGTGTGTTGGCTGGGCAGGGGCTCGCCAAGGATCGCTCGGAAGGAAAACAAGCGTGACAAACTGCACGCTGAAGTTAAGACATGCATATATACATATATGTATATGTACACGGTTCCCTAGGGGCGGCCTGATGGGCCTCGCACGGTAGTTTCTCTCTCTCTCTCTGACGATATTTACATACATACATACATACATACATACATACATACATACATACATGCATGCATGCATGCATGCATGCATGCATGCATACATACCTAGGTGTAAATATGTGTGTATGTACATCCGCCGCCATGCCCTCAGGCACGAGTTGGAGTGCCCTCAAGTCCTTTCGAGCTATTTACATTGAATTCAGCATGTATGCTTTGAGGGGCTCACAGCCAGGAGTTCCGGACGCTCTCGCGCGCTCTCGGGGATCCACGCGAGACTTTTCGAAGGCCGAGAGCGCATTGATGTCTAATCTGATATCAGATGGCCCTGGGGACCGTCCTGGAGCCCCCCCGAAGAGCCCCCGAGAGTAGCCCAACAGGCCCCCAAGACGGCCCCAAGAGGGGCCCAAGATGGGGAACACGAACTAACATTTTGAGCCCTCCAAAGATGGCCCCAAGATCCCCCCAGAAGCCTCCGAGGTGCGTCCAAGAGGCCCCAAGAGGTCCCCAAGACGCCCCAAGACCTGCAAACAAAGCGCCCCAAAGAGGCATCCGAGAGGCCTCCCAAGAGATCCCCACATGCATCCAGGAGGCTTCTAACCTAAAACCCAGGCTCGGAGGAGGGATGGGCCGAAGGCCACTAGATATGTGTCTCAATTCCCTTCGTGGCGGCCTTAGCAATAGGCCCCTTCTGTGTCACAAGAAGAACCACTGTGCAAATCGAATACACAAGGAATGTACGTGTAAGCCTGCCGGCCTCCTTCTGCCGTGGCCTTACACATCAAACTCTTTCTGCGTCGACCTTGCAAATACCTTCCCTATGTGGCGGCAGTAAACGTCGATTCCTTCTGTGGCATGCAACGGATACATATCACACACACATACAACAGATCAGGAAAGCAAGCAAGTCAAACATCGCGAATGTTCTCTCACTCGGGGGGGAGGAGAAGAAGGGAAGCGGCCAGGAGAGGGGAAGAAGCAGGCATGGGAGGGAATGAGTTGAAGAAAGAGCCCTTTCTCCTCCCTTCCTTTTCCTCATTAATAACCCTTCCCGGTCGCACCCCGAGGCGCATTGGTAGAGCGGGTTAGGCGTTTCGCCTGAGACTTTCACCATATATGACCCTTGAGTATGACATGTACAAGAGCTTCACACATGGAGGGCGGGCGGAGTCAAAATGTGGCCCTCGCCTTGGCGCCGCGCACACCCGACTTACACAGTTGCAACACAAGCTGCTGCAAGCCTGCGGGCTACACCAATACGCAGTGGGGCGACAGGCCGGGTGCGAAAAAGTACACAAGGCCGTGACAGCAATGACGGCAACCTCGCCCAATGCCCTAGTCTTAGCGTTTGACGCCACCAACGCATTCAACACCCTGCCGCGCCGGGGAATCCTCAAGGGGATCGCGGCGCGTTTGCCTGAGCTGTACCATCCGGCGGCCGCGTGGCTGGGCACGGGGACCACGCACCTCTGGCGGGGGACGGACAAGTTGGCCAAGGGTGTAAAAGCAACGAGCGGAATCGACCAGGGCTGCCCGTTATCATCAGCTTACTTCGTCTTGGGGCTCGCGGAGGCGCTGTCAAACATCGACGCTCGACTGCGGGCCGCGGCTCCGACCGCCCGGGTGTTTTCTTACCTGGACGACGTGGTGGTGGTCGTGCCCGCGGCGCTGGGAGAGGCGGCGGCGACGACGGTGGTGGAGCTCACCCGGGTAGGACTCACCATCAACGAGAGCAAAACCGCAGCGTGGACCAGGGATCCTTCGACGCCGCTCTCGCCGCGGCTGCAAGCCTTGCGGAAGCCCGCTCTTCGCTGCCCGGGAGCCACCGCGCCGTGAGTGGAGCCCGAAGACCCGTTGACGCGGCTCGCGGTGCACGGGCAGGCCGACGGCGACGAAGCTGTGCGGGCAGCAGAGCGTCTAGTCACTCGACTGCAGACGCTTCGGGGCGCTGGACTCGGGTTGCGGGAGTGCTTCTGGCTTCTCCAAACATGCAGCAACGGGTGCGTTGCGCACGTGCTCCGCACAAACCGAGAACGGGGATTGGTTTGCGCGGCTCGGCGAGACTTTCGTGCAGGCGGAGAGGAGTTCCTGGACGACACGCTCGACTACAATCAACGAATGCAGTTTTTCTTCGCTTGACGGACGGGGGCCTCGATTTCGCCTCTGCCGCGCAGACGGCGGCCGCCGCATATTTGGGGAGCTGGGCGCTGACCCTCCACAGCGTGGGCACCTGCTTGGGGGAGCCTTCCTGGGCACGGTTCAACGAACAATGTTGTGGCCGTGGCCATGGCCTGGGCTTCAGGCGCACAGCGCGGGGTCCTTCGACGCGCCCGACCGGACCGGCTGCATGGGGGAACCGCTCCCGGGCATGCACGGCAAGTGGGCCGGCGACTTCCGCAGCAAGAACCAAGAGTGGCTGCTAGCCTGCCTGGGGGAAGACGACAGGGTGGACTTCCAGTCGCCAGGCGGCCCCGGCACAGGAGGTTGCGGTGAGACGCCCGCGAAAATGTCAAACGAACACTTCCGCGTCTTCCTTGCGGACAGATTGCGGCTGCCGCTATGCCCGCCCGGGGCGACCTGCCAGCTCCGAAAAGCCGACGGATCCTAATGCGGAGAGGCGCTAGATCGTCGCGGGCAGCACGCCCGGAAGTGCTCTTGCGGTCCTTGCCGCACCGCAAGACACAACAGCCTCAGAGACTTTTGCGCCGGGTACCACCAACAGACCACCAGGCTCGTGGCGCAGACGGAACAACGGGTCGCTGCCTGGGACAGGGTCAACCTGCGGACCGGGCGCCTCGAGCAGGCGCGGCTCGACGTCGCCACCCGCGATGTAGTGACTGGTCAGACCATTTTCTTGGACACGAGCGTGACCTGCGCACACAGCGGCACCGCGCCGAGCCAGCAGGCAACCTCGAACCGCGACGGTCTCGCCGCCACCAACGCGGAGGACGCCAAGCGGGAGCGCTACCCGCCAGAGGGGGGGCAACTCGTCCCCGTGGTCTTCGAGGCGGGAGGCCGCCCGGGGGACGCCACCGTGGCGTACGTCCGCTCTTGGGGCCACGACATGGCCCTGGCGGAGCGGACGGAGGTCGTCCGCTTTGGTTGGCAGCAGCTGAGCACACGGCTGAACCTCGGGAACGCCGAGACTATCTTGGCGGCCGTCGGGCGCTGAGGCTCTACCAAGAGCGCCCCGGCTCTCTTGGGCCGACGCTGCCGGGAAGGCGTTGGCAGGGCCACCACCCGCAGCAGCATCAGCGCCGGCAGCAGCGCAGGGACCACGACACCGATGACGGCGACGGCTGCTGCTCTTCGCCCCCCGCGCTCCGCCGCCCCCGCCCCCGCCCCCCCCCCGCTGACGACCACTTCGATGACGACGATGGCGGCCGTCGCCTCCCGAGCCCCGCACCCCGCCGCACTGGCCTCCGCCCTCCGCCCCCGCCGACGTGACTCGATGCCCCCGCTCCTCCCCCGCTCCTTCGGCCGGCCGCCCCTGCTTGTTTTTTCCTGCGCTCTGGCTGCTGTTGTCCTTCTTCCTCCTCCCCCTGCCGGATAGCGCAGAGCGTCTGGGACCGGCAGCGCGGCGCGCAACCAGGGGGGGGGTCCAGCGCCGACCCAAGAGAGGTCTGCGCGGACCCCCGTCAGGCATGTGAACGGTGCAGGACTACATAACCTCTGCTGCTGCCGCTGGCCCGCCTCAGTCCCTTTTTGTCCTCAGTGCGGAGGAGGAGGAGCAGCAGGAGGAGGAGAAGGAGGAAGAGGAGGAGGAGGAGGAGGAGGAAGATGAAGAAGAGAAGGTCGAGGAGAGGAAGAGGAGGAGGAGCAGGAGGAGGAGGAGGAGGAGGAGGAGGAGGAGGAGGAGGGAGGACAACGAGGAAAAGAAGGAAAAGGAGGAGGAGGCAGAGGAAGACCCATAGGAGGAGGAGGGTCCGCCGCGTGTAGTGCCCCTTCCCTGGCAGGCCTCAGCAGCACCGCGAAGGCGGCGCAGCTGCCAGCCAGCGCGAGCGCCGGCGGGCCCCGACGGGCTCTCGCGGCGCCCGCGCCCAGGGCACGGGCGGCGATCTTCGACTCGCCGCGCGCCCCGTGCCATCGTCGTCGTCGTCGTCGTCGTCCTCCTCCTCCTCCTCCTCCTCCTCCTCCTCCTCCTCCTCCTCCTCCTCCTCCTCCTCCTCCGCCTCCTCCTCCTCCTCCTTCTCCTTCCTCCTCCTCCTCCTTCCTCCTCCTCCTCCCCTTCCTCAACCCTCCCCTCCTCCTCCTCCTCCTTTTCCTCCTACTCCTCCTCCTCCTCCTCCTCCTCCTCCTCCTCCTCCTCCTCCTCCTCCTCCTCCTCCTCCTCCTCCTCCTCCTCCTCCTCCTCCTCCTCCTCCTCCTCCTCTCCAGCCTCCTCCTCCTCTCCTCCTCCTCCTCCTCCTCCTCCTCCTCCTCCTCCTCCTCCTGCTCCTCCTGCTGCTCCTGCTCCTCCTGCTCCTGCTCCTGCTCCTGCTCCTGCTCCTGCTCCTGCTCCTGCTCCTCCTCCTCCTCCTCCTCCTCCTCCTCCTCCTCCCTCCTCCTCCTCCTCCTCCTCCCTCCTCCTCCTCCTCCTCCTCTCCTCCTCCTGCTCCTCCCTCCTCCTCCTCCTCTCCTCCTCCTTCCTCCTCCTCCTCCTCCTCCTCCTCCTCCGCCTCCTCCTCCTCCTCCTCGTCCTCCTCCTCCTCCTCCTCCTCCTCCTCCTCCTCCTCCTGCTCCTCCTCCTCCTCCTCCTCCTCCTCCTCCTCCTCAAGATGGCATCTAAAACGGCCGTGGAGCACCCCAAGAGGGCCCCAAGTCGGCCCAGAAAGGCCCCCGAAACGGCTTCCGATGGCGTCAGACGGGCCAGGGGCCCACCAAGATGGCCGCAGGTGGCTCGCAGCTGGCCCAAGACGGCCCAAGAGGCCTCCAAAAGGGCCTCCAGGAAGGCCAGGAAACAAAAAAAAAAAAAAAAAATGTTCCATACGTTTGTTGAAGGGTTTTGACATTTGCTTCGTTTCGGCTCTCCGACGGCCCGATGCGATCAAAGAGCCCCCAAAGATCGTTCAAGGATCGCCCAAGAGGCCTCCAAGATGGCCCCAAAACTGCCCCAGAGGCGCCCAAGACGGCCCCCAAGAGGCCCCCAAGACGGCCTAAGAGGGCCTCCAAGACGCTCAAGATGGCCTCCAAGACGGCCCAAGAACCCTCCAAGACGTCCTCCAAGAAGGCTCGAAAAGGGGCAAAATAGCCTCCAGGCGGCCAAGATGACCTTCAAGATTCCCACATGTTACCCGAAGGCTTTCCAAACCGACTCGGGAAACACATGTCTGGTAGGAGTCCATTCCACAACTTTCGAGCGCAGAGAACGCGTGTCGAGAAACGCGGCACGGGCGGGCGAAGCATGGCCGGCAGCGAAAAACTGCCGGAGGCCGGGCCACAGGCAGCGGCCTGCACTGAGCAGGACGATCATCACAAGAAATCTCGCTTCGAGGTAAAGAGTTAATGGCGCTGAGAGGCGCGCGAGGTGGCGGAGGGCAGGCCACGGGTGCACTTGAGAACAATCAAAAGGCCGTGGAGCACCCCCGACAACAACGCGCAAGCACTCCAATGTCTGGTAGGGCTCCATTCCAAAACTTTTGAGCGCAGAGAACGTGTCTCGAGAAACACGGCACGGGCGGGAGAGCATGGCTGGCAGCGAAAAACTGCCGGAGGCGTGGCCACAGACGGCGGCCTGCACTGAGCAGGACGATCATCACAAGAAATCCCGAATCACTTCCCAAAACATGGAGGTGTTCTCGCAAGGTGTGCAGCTATCAGCGCGGCGGCTAAATCACGGCACAAGCCTGCAGGATATGGCTCAGCGACTTTTGTCCACGGCACGCGTCTGGTTGGATGCGGACCTGACAATTCGACGTGTGCACGCTTGCTGTAGTAGCAGCATCCTTTTCCAGCGCAGAGCCAATTCCGTAGGGGGGGCAACACAGTGGTCGGCAACATAGCCAAACAAAAAATGAGTCCGCTTCCTCCATCTCATTCCATAGCTGCAAACATCAAACGAGACTTGTGCAGCTGCACGCAATGCTCGCCGCCGCAGAGCTGGAAGTTTCCACGTCAAGTAGCTGTATGGGTTCTCTAGAAATCATGGTATCCCACATACGTCAAGCACGCGTAAAATACGAAGGGTTGCCCCGAGGAGCCTGTTACCACGCCTAAGGGCGGCGTGGTCGTTGACACTGAAATCGGTCATGTCGCTAACTCCCCAGGGCTGGGCTGAAGTTCCGATGAAACGCGCCCTCATTCTTGCGATCGAAACTGGTGCATTCTGTTGCCAAGGCCGCCCCGAGAATCAGCCCATGTTTGGCATCCTTCTCCAGGCGGCGATGCGCGGCATGGTCGGTAAGGCCCAGCGCAGAGCTGTAGCGCAGGTCACACACTCGGGCAGCATAGCCGCGGTGGGAGAGGGCTCTACCAACGCCGCCCTCGCCACAGAAGAGATCCGCAATGCACGGGCGGCGGTTCACAGGGATACACAGGGCTGGGCGACCGCGTGGCCGAAGAAGAGCCCCTTGAGTCCCAGGTCTGCCTCCCGGGAAGCCGCAGTCTGCCGCGGCAGCTGGCGGCAGGCCGAGACTGAGCCTGGACGCGTTCTCGTGCCTTTTTCTGGAAAACCTCGCACTGCCAGCCGCCCCTCTTCTTCAGCTCGAGGCGGTCGCGATGGCGCCTCTGCAGGTCCAGCGAGGCCCCCGAGTGACGACACCGGTAAGGCACCACACTCGACATCCTGGTCACGCGGGACTGGGCCGCAAGCTCGGGGTAGCTGCGCGGGAAGAGCCGAGTCGGAACGGCGTGGCGCCAGCGCCGCGAGCACGATCACCCGCGACAGCCAAAGGTACAGCTCGTTCGCGGGGCTGGCCCTGTCGCCCTGCATTTGGCTCTTTCGGGTGGCCGCCCGCGTCTGCGGGAACAGCGGCCCTGCCCAGTCCTCTGAGTTGCCCCCAACTGGCTCGACGAGGTCCTGACGCTGGATTGTGAGGTGCCCCCCAGGACGACGGTCTGTCACGATCGCCCAGATGGCGCGCAGCCCCGCGAGCCAGAAACCGCGGCAGCAGAGGCCCCAGAATATAGCTGACCATATCATCTTGAATACAGGGCACCGTGACCGCCGGCCCCGCCTGCAGCGCCACCCCTGCGGGCCTCGCCAGGCCTGGGGGAGACGCGATCCACCCAGCTTCCTGTGCTGGGGCTGGAAGTGCGTGAGACTCGACATCAGCACGTCGCCCCTTTTCGACTTGCGCCCTGGCTTGTGACGCTCGTTCATGTCGCGCACGAGAGCACCGTCCGCCTCGCTGTCCGCGAGGAGCGGCTGCTCCCGGGCGGCGCTGATGAACGCTTGGAGCTCCATCTGGTAGCGGGTCTCTGTGCCCTGCCTGATAGCAGAGCGCGCCAGCAGCGTCAGGTCGGCCAAAGTCGGCGACGCCTCGGCCTGGGCCACGACCCGAGCGCGGTGCTCGGCCGTCTGGCGCAGCTGCAGTGTGCGCCGCGTCTCGGCCTGGTCCTCGGGCTGCGTAATGGCGTCGCTCTCGCCCCCTCCGTGGCCGCAGCTCGCCTCCGGGTCGCGGTCGGCGGTCTTCGAGGCGGGGGGGGGGCAGCATCAGCCTCTGCCTCAGGCCGTCGCTGGGCGCTGGCAGCGTCCGCCCGCGGCGGGCCAGCGCCTGCGGCTCGGCTGGGAGGCCCCCAGGCGTCGGCGACAGCACCCGCGAGCGCTCCACGAGCCGCTCGGGCCTGGCTGCAGCGGGCGCGCTGCCTCCTTCGGAGGGCGGCGCCAGCGGGCGGCGGCCGCGCTCGCCATTATCGGAGGGCGCCCTGGGCACCCAAACGGGGCGCCCTCCCAAGCCGACGTGGGCGTCGTGGCGGACTGAGTCTCCTGGGGCTGTCGGGGGTCCCGAAGGCTCGGGGCGCTGAGGGGCTCGATGGGCTCGCAGGGGGCCGCAGGAGGAGCACGGGGGGTCACTGAAGGGGGTGAACTGGTACATGACGTAGAGTACTTCGGAGTCGTCCTACTGCTGCTGCTTGCAGTAGCCAAGTTGCTGCTGGGGTCTATGTTGGCGCGCTCATATTCTTGCTCTCGTAATCGATCAAAGTGCTGTGCGAGCTGCTCTGCGTGCCCACGTGCTTGCGGTAGCGCATGCTCTTGGCATGTGTGCTATCTTGTTCGTGTACATGTTGTGGTAGTCTATGATTTACAAGTGTATGTTCATCATCTTTGGAGGCCTCCGAAGAATTCACCGGGGTCTTACTGGGGTCGTAGTTCGAATCGCACAGTCTAGAGCCCTCGTCACGCGGGTTGAGCTCACTCGGAACCCATCTCACATGGAGGCGCTTGTCAACACAAAGCCCCAGGGCGACAGCCCGCCTGATGCAAGAGAGAACCACGAAGTTCCTCGCCCTCCTCCTCTCGAAACGAACACTGCAGGCAGGTTATCGCTCATGACGACGACATGCCCCCTTCTCGCGGCGCCAGACTGCACTGCATCTCCATCGCCCTCAGGAGGGCGACGTGTCATGCCACCCGCGGGCGACAATCTCTGTCCAGCGAGAGCCCGAGAAGATCTCCGCTGCCATCTCCTCGAAGCTTTTATCGACCCCCCACTCAGTCTGGGGCGCGATCACATCGTGCTCGTCAAGCTCTGAAAGCTCTGTGAAGTCTCCACTGCTGATCATCACAATCCCGTTACTGGCAAAAAAGTGGGCCGTGCAGAGTGGCCGCCCAAACGGCGGAAACGCGAGCGCCCCTGCACCCGCCCAATCTCCTTCACGGCGGCCTGGTCGAACAGCGAGGCGCTCACTGCGTAGCCGTGCTCCGACGCATCGGAGATGCAGACCAGCGGGCACCGCGGGAGCGCCCAGTCGCCCCGCAACAACGGCATCGGGCCCCAGAAGGCGACCAGCTCGGCCCGGGCCGACGGCCACAGCGGGGCCCCCGGGTGGTAGTGGGCCGCGATGAACTTGCATATCGCGTTGAGGACGGAGAGGAGGTCGCTGTCGCACATTGCGCAGTACGCACAGTGGACGAGGATGACCTCCCACACCCACCCTGGCAAGGCCCTGCTGCCCAGCGCCCACGGGATGCCCTGGCGGACCCGCCAGTAGCGCTTGGCAGTGAGCCGGGTAGTCAAGGAGCTCCCATCCAGCACGCGGCCCAGCGTCTCGCCGCGGCCCTCCTGGATCTCCGTCTCGTGCGCCGTCAGGCCCGCGGCGTCGAACCTCGCCGTGGCGGCGGCAAGGCCGCTGGCGACGTCCCCGCTGGTGAAGCCCAACGCTCCGAGGTTGTCCACGTAGGTGCACTGAGCGCCTCCTCCTTCGGCCAGCGGGGCCGGCGGGCGCAGCGCTGTCGCAGGGCCTCGGTCGCTCATGCGGTGGGCGCGCTCCAGCTCGGGGGCGGTGCCCATCGCGGCTTCACCCACCTCCTGGCAGAAGTAACGCGACCAGGTGAAACCCATCGGGGGGGCGGCGCACGCGGGCACTAGCCGGCGGTCGGGCGCCGCCGCGAGGCCCCCGACGGCGGCGCCCACAAGGCCCACCTCCTGCGCCGTCACGCACCGCATGCAGAAGTAGCCGGAGAGACCTCGATCGGTCCTGAAGCGGTGGAAGGCGTCGCTGATGTCGGAGGCCGCCAGCGTGAAGCCGAGGTCCGCGCCGCCCTGGATGCCATCGCTCTCCGCCTCGACGCGGGCAAGCCCCTCGGCGGTCACCGGCGACACGCCATGGGGGAAGTGACGTGGAGGTTGCTCCGTCTGGCGTCTATGATGAGCCGAGGCTGGTTAGACTTCTTGGCCGCGAGGAAGACTCCGACCTCCTCGCGACGCTCGGCCTCATCCAAGAACACCGGCATACCCTTGGAGTAGAGCAACTTGATCATGCGCACGTAGAGCCTGCGGTTGCGAGCCAGCAATGGGCACCAGTGGGGGATGATGTCACATTCACCAAGTCGACAACGCAAATTCACCTCATCTAGAAGCATCCGAGAAAAACCGCCCTCGAAAAATTGGCGCGCCTGAGCAGGTGCGATGTCCAACAGCCGTGGCCCTCCCACCGCGGTCTTAGGTAAGGATATCATTGCGAAGAGGCCCGACGTTCTGTCCGGCCGACTCGCCGTAGACACCGCGGCCGCGCAGCAGCTCTGAGAAGGCTGCCCGCGGGGAGGGGATCGCGGTCTCCAGAGGCAGCAGGCTGTCACCCACACACTCCAGGATCCGCGCGTGCACCCTCATCTGGCCAAAATTCGGCTTGGCGCCTGTAGTAGTTCGGTTCACCAACCAATTCAAAGCATCGACAACCTCATTGAAATCCTGGCGGGCCCGCCTAGCGAGCCGAGCAGCCCCGCGGCTCTGGAGCTGCGGCCAGTTCCCCTCGCGGTCATCCAGCCTCGGCAAGGGGAAGAGCGAGAGCAGGCCCACCCCGACTTCACGCGCGGGCTGAGCACTGCCGGCGGGGCGCCCACCTCCACCGGCGAGAGCGGCCATGCCGCCTCGGGCGCGGTGAGCTTGCCACCGCGCCCAGCAGCCCCCCGCCCGCCGCCGCCTCGATCATCTCCACGACCTCGTCCGCGGCCGCGCCCGCGCCCGTCAGCTGCGTCCGCGGGGCCACTTGGGGGCCCCTCTCCTGCCTCCAGCGCCAGGCGGCTCATCACCGACACGCCGGCGGCGCGGCTCTTCCAGTCCCCCAGCTCCATCTCCTCCTTGTTCCGACGGAAGACGACCGACCTCAACGCGGGGTCGATGTCGCCCCGCGGGCCCGTCACGCCCATGCAGCGCCGCGGCCCGCCCCGCTTCGGTAGCTTGGTGGGGTCGCTTGAGTAGGCCTCCACGTTCTGCGACACCCTATGGCACAACACCTTGATGCTCAGCATGCTGGCCAAGCTGGTCTGGTCACGACTTCCAACGTAGTTGACCGCCGAGAGCAAGCCCTTCGTCCTGATGCAGGTGCGGTCAGTCGAGCTGATGACCCGATCCCGCACCTCCAGCCACGGCAGGGGGGTGCCACCGTTCTCGTCCCCCATCTTGATCATGTGCTCTACGGTGGAGAGGCCGTCCCACAGGGACCAGTCGCGGGAGATGCACGGCGTCACCTCGCGGACGACCTCGCGCCAAGGGTCGCAGTGCTCCCCACGCCCGTCATGCTGCGCCCACGCCGTCCTCACGTAATCGACGACCTCGGCGTCGGGCGCCCTCTCGGATGCCGGCACCGCAAGCCTGTCCCTCGGGTCCCTGTCGCTCGCCTCCTGTTCGGGAGCCCCGACGCCACGGCTGACTCGGGGCCCCCCTCCAGCGCCATGCGGCGGCCACGGCTCCAGCAAGTTCATGAGCACTCTGGGTCGCCGCCGACGGTGGCCGTCGGCCTCCTCCACGGGCCACGGGGATCGCCTCCGCGACTCGCCGGCTCTCGCCATCGCGGGAGGCGGTGTGGTGGGCGCCGAGCCGTACGCTGCCTTCGGCACGGGCCCCCCCGCGTCCCGCGAGAAACGTCCCAGGGGGGGCCACGACCCACGCCCCGCCCTCAGGCGGGTCCAGGGTCAGCGGGGCACCCCAGGCGTCCGCAGCGGCCGCCTCCACCAGCGGCTTAGCATCGGCCCCAGGCGGCGTCGCCGTCCCGCCAGCCCCCCCGCTCGTGACTCGTAGGGGGAGGCGGCGACGGAGCTCTGAGACGGCCGTCAGCTCGCCCTCCCAGATGTGGTACTGCTCGGGGCCCTCCACTTCATCGTGCTCAGTCTGAGCGGTAAGTGCTCGGAGGACGAGGGGGCGAGGCTGGGTCGTGCGCGCGGGCCCCAAGAACCTGTAGAACTCCGTCCCCGCCACCAGCCACGCGAACACCAGCGCGGACGCGCACTCAGGCTCCAAGGCCGGGCCGGCTCCGCCGCGACAGACGGGCCCTCGGCCCTCGCGCCCAGCGGGAGCTTCTCCAGCAGCACCGCGGCCACCGCTTCCACCGAAGTGCAGATCGGCGGCGCCGGGGGGGACTGCTGGCCAGCAACGACCCCAGCTCCGCGACCAGAGCCGCCGCGGCGCTCGCCGCGCCAGGCCCGGCGGGCGGCGACGGCGGGGGCGGCGGCGGAGGCGGCCACGCGGATGCCTGGCAGGCGCGGGCAGGGCAGGTAGCGGAGGCCGCCGCCACCGCCGCCAGCCAAGCGCCCGCCAGCCGCAAACCCGCCCGGGCCGCGAGCGCGCCCGCCGCGACGCCCACTGCAGGGGTCGCGGCGGCGCCCGGGGCCATGGCCTGGCCCGCGCTCATGCACTTGAGGACAATCAAAAAGGCCATGGAGCACCGCAGACAACAACATGCAAGCACTCCGATGGTCCGATAGCTTGGCAGGTCTGGCCCCAACGTTCGGCCACTTAGGCGCTTCCACAAAGGCAGGGGGCGGCGGTGGTTCGCCGTAGGCGTCTTCGATCAGCCGCCCCCTGTCGATTCATCGCAGGGGTGCCTGGCGTGCTGGACCCTCTCGGTTTGGGTTTTGGTTCTTTTTCCAAAAGAACTCCCCCTGGGGCTTCGGCCCGCCCCGCTGGGGCGGGACCCATAGGACGCCCGAGCCATCGCCCAATTCCCACATGTTCCTCCAAGACGGCTGAAGATGGCCTCCAAGATGGCCACGTTGGCCCAAGATGGCCTCCAAAATGGCCCAAGATGGCCTCCTAGTACGCCCAAGAGAGGAGGAGATGCCTCCAAGTCCGCCCAAGAAACCTCCAAGACGGCCCGAGAGGTGCCCAAGAGGCCTCCAAGACGGCCTAAGAGGCCTCCAAGACGGCCCAAGAGACCTCCAAGACGGCTTTCCGACGACCCAAGACGGCCCAAGAGGCCCCCAAGATCGCTCCCACAGCGCCCAAGAGGCCTCCAAGATGGCCTCAGGACTGCCCAAGAGGCCCCCAAGACGGCCCCAAGAGGGCACAAAGACGACCCAAGAGGCCTCCAAGACGCCCAAGATGGCCTCTAAGACGGCCCTGGAGCACCCCAAGAGGGCCCCAAGTCGGCCAAAAGAGGCCCCCAAAACGGCTTCCGACGGCGTCAAACGGGCCAGGAGCCCACCAAGATGGCCGAAGTTGGCTCGAAGCTGGCCCGAGACGGCCCAAGAGGCCTCCAAGAGGGCCTCCAGGAAGGCCAGAAAAGGCCAAAAACATAAATGTTCCTTTGGTTGTTGAAGGATGTTGATATTTGCTTCTTTTCGGCCATCCGAAGGCCCGATACGGCCCAAGAGCCCCCAAAGATCGCACAAAGATCGCCCAAGAGGCCTCCAAGATGGCCCCAGAACGGCCCAAGAGGCCCCCAAGACTGCCCCAAGAGGCCCCCTAAACGGCCCAGGGCGCTTTTAAAACGCCCAAGATGGCCTCCAAGACGGCCCTGGAGCATCCCAGGAGGGCCCCAAATCGGCCCAAAGAGGCCCCCAAAACGGCTTCCGACGGCGTCGGACGGGCCAGGAGCCCACCAAAACGGCCGAAAATGGCCGTGAGATGGCCCAAGACGGCCCAAGAGGCTTCCAAGAGGGCCCCCAGGAAGGGCAGAAAAATGTCAAAATCATTGATTTCCCACGAGTGTTCGAAGGATTGTGGCATTTGCTTTTTTTCGGCCTTCCGACGGCCCGAGACGGGCCAAGTGCCCCCAAAGATCGCCCAAGGATCGCCCAAGACGGCCCCAAGAGGCCACCAAAACGACCCAAGACGCCTCCGAGGCGCTCATGATGGCCTCCAAGACGGTCCAAGAACCATCCAAGACGTCCGCCAAGAAGGCCCGAAAGGGTCAAAATGGCCTCCAGACGGCCACGATGACCTTCAAGATGCCCTCGTGTTCCCCGAAGGCTTTTCAAACCGATTCGGGGAACACATGGTCCGATAGCTTAACAGGTCTGGCCTCAACGTTCGGCCACTTAGGCGCTTCCACAAAGGCAGGGGGCGGCGGTGGTTCGCCGTAGGCGTCTTCGATCAGCCGCCCCCTGTCGATTCATCGCAGGGGTGCCCAGCGTGCTGGATCATTTCGGTTTTGACGTGGTTCTTTTTCCAAAAGAACTCCCTCTGGGGCTTCGGTCCGTCCCGCCAGCTGCCTGCCTCGTCGGCTTCTTCGCTCAATATGGCTCAAGATGGCTCAAGATGGCCTCCAAAATGCCTCCAAGGCGGCCGAGATGGTCTCCAAGAAAAGATGGCCTCAATACGCCTCCAAGACGGCCCAAGATGCACCCAAGACGGCCTATGATAGGCTCAAGATGGCCCAAGACGGCCTAAGAGGCCTCCAAGAAGCCTCCAAGACGGCCCAAGCGGCCTCCAAGAGGTCCTCCAGAAAGGCCCGAACAGCCCTGAAGATTTGGGGGGCTGCGCCGTTGCTGCCTTCCGACGGCCCCAGGCAGCCCAAGAGGCCCCCAAAGTCGCCCCAAGATCGCCCTATAGAGGCCTCCAAGACGGCCCCATAACGGCCAAAACGGCCCCCAAGACGGCCCCAAGAGGGCCCCAAGACTGCCCAGGAGGCATCTAAGACGCCACTTGTACAGAGAGCGCCAATACACAACTTTGAAGGGCCACCCACCCGCCCCGCCCACCGCCCCTAAGGCGGAGGGCGAAGCAGAGAGCGAGGGTAGTAGGGGACAGGCGGTAAAAAGGGCCGAAAGGCAGCAGCATGCAACAGACGATGGAGCTGGTTCATTTCAGAGGCAACGAGTTGACCACAGTCACATGTCTGCTCATCTTTGCCGCGTCAAATGCACGGCGCTGCAAAGCGAAACCACGGTCAAGAAGCCCATGGCCGTGGTGAATTATTCGGCCACTGCACACCACCAGAATTCTGGAAGTGGAGAAGCTGGGGCGGGCGAGGCGGGCCCGAAACAGCTATGGCCATGCTGCTGCCTGCAAAACAGTGCACTCCTTGACGCATACAAGAACAATCATTCACTACTTTCATATGTCCATCTTGTACAGAGAGCGCCAATACACAACTTTGAAAGGCCACCCACCCGCCCCGCCCACCGCCCCTCTAAGGCGGAGGGCGAAGCAGAGAGCGAGGGCAGTAGGGGACAGGCGGTAAAAAGGGCCGAAAGGCAGCAGCATGCAACATACGATGGAGCTGGTTCATTTCAGAGGCAACGAGTTGACCACAGTCACATGTCTGCTCATCTTTGCCGCGTCAAATGCACGGCGTTGCAAAGCCAAACCACGGTCAAGAAGCCCATGGCCGTGGGGAATTATTCGGCCACTGCACACCACCAGAATTCTGGAAGTGGAGAAACTGATTTTTATCCCTGAGCTGCAGCACCAATTGAGGGCCAACTCCCGCTCGCGATCCACCCTCTCGGTGAAGCAGACAAGCCGAAAAAAATGAGCCTCCCCCTGCATGATGTGCTGCACAAAGCTCAGGGCCGACTCCCGCTCGCGAAACGAAACCAATCCCACTGCCCCAAGATCATGCGCGCCAGACGGCACCACCAAGGCGGCGAGACACCTGGGAGCCGCAGTACTTCATCTTTTGTGAGAGGCCGACGGACGACATCAGCGTCTACTGCGCCCAGGATTGCGCCGTTAACCCGAGTAGTGATCCGCTCGAGCTCCTGGCCGGGGTCCGCGCCCGTCACCACCCGCAAGGGATTCGACCAGCGGACCGTGAAGTCCAGGGCGGCGTAGTGCACGCGCAAGGCCAGGTAGGACTCATCCACCAGCATGATCTCCCAGTCCCATATGAAGAACCGGCTTGAAAAGTTGAATCTGGCCGTGAGACGCGAGGCTGACGGAGCTCGCGGTGAAATTGCACGGACAGCTGCCCACACCTCGTCAGAGAGCTCAGACGGGACAGCCTGCAGGGTGCGCGCCAGCTCACTTGAATCGGGGTCGCCGCGCCTGTCGGGAATGGACGAGTCGACCACGTACCTGCCGCCTGTCACGTCAAGCGTGCAAGCTACTAAATCCACTCCGCTCCAAGCTTCGCCCACCAGACCCATAGAGTTGCGCGCCAGCGATAGCGCAACATTGCTGACCGCCAGCGTCAGGTTCTTGGCTGCCAGGGCGACTGTGCCTCCTGCGTCCGCGACGTCCTCGACAAGGCTGACTGCCGCATCAGCGCCGCGTGCCAAGTTGGGGAAAACGTAGGCCGGGCAGACGGCGGCGAGGAAGAAGAGCAGCACCAGGGGCAACCAGCACTGGCCCAGCAAGCTGAAGAACTTGCCGATTCTAACTAACCACGCAAGCCCCTGCAACCTCTTGCCCTTCTTGGCTGGCGGTCCTCTGTAGCCGTGAGCCGCGTCCATGGGCTGGGGCCCCGGTGGAGCCCCCGATCCCGAGGCTGGCGTCCCTGGTGGGGTCGGTAGTGGCGTCGGGGTGCTGGCCCTTGAGGATGCGCTCAGTACTTGCCAACTCCCCGTCGTGCCTGGCGACTCCGGGGACTTCCCGCGCGGGGCATGGTTCCCCTTGTACTTGACGTCCGGCACCAGCTCTCTCGGCACCCAGCCCTGGCCCTCGACCCGCACCGTGCCCTTGGGCCCCATCTGCTGCAAGGTCGAGGGGCGCAGTTCGGCAGTGGAACGAAGACTCGGGGAAGTACTGGATCCAGCCCTTCTTGAGCCACGACAGCTGCGCAGCATAGCCCGAGGTCGTGAGCTGGGTAACTATGTGATTTGCTCCCACGATATCCAGGTATGTGCGAAGACTGCTATCTGCAACCCAGCGTCCAGCTTCACGAACTTCGAGAAAACTCATGCCCTCGGCCCGACTGTCTGAGGCCCATCCCGCACGAGGACTGTGGGGGCCCCATCCAACCTGCAAGCCCAGCAGGCCCTCGATCTGCTTGAGGATCCTCCTGTACGTGGCCAGGGAGTAGGGGAACACCTGGAGGCCTGGTGGGGTGTACCTTCGGGCAACTCTGAGGA